CTCTGGTGCACAGAGGGTACTTTTGCGCTTGTATTCCAAAGTGGTTCAATCCGCCATTTGCAGTTTCAAACCACAGAAAGAAAAATCAGTCGAGAGGCAGGTTTTTATCAGTGGATCAAACCAAACCCAGGTTCTAATCACCATGCATAGTCTAATTTATGCTATTTTGTATTACAACTATATTGTTCTATGTCTTTGCAGTTTAGGTCAAAGACAATGAGATATTGTTTTACAGATTTCGAGAGCCCCACTTGACAGAGGTGTTCCAGTGAATGTGCCATGCATTTGTCTCTTTGAACACTGTATATGCTACACAACACACTGCTGGTTCCTCCCACACTGATCTCCTAAGACACTTCCATTTTTCAGAGCCCAGATGGAGAGGAGGAGAGACGACTTCAGTCCATGCCATGACCTGGAACTAATTCTGCACGTTAGCCCAATTTCACTCTGCTTGTGTTGCTCCGTGCCAATTGTAGCCGACGTATCTACAAAAAACAATGCAAAGAAAGGGGCTAAACCAGTGGACCCCAAACTACGGCTTGAGGGCCAAATCCGGCCCGCCTCCACTTTTGGTCCGGCCCCCAGAACAATATCAGGGAAGAGAGCAATTTGATTTATTTTTCCTATATGTGCATTTGTATTTGATCAGAAAGTTGGACTTTTGAAATAAAACGTTCCTTAGTTATGAACTATTTCCATTGTTAACAATTGTAACTATTTTATACACACATATAACGTGACGGTGTGTCTCCCTATCTGACAACCCCCAGAAAAAGGGGTTAGAGTTAAGAGAGAGAGAGAACTGATCTATCAGAATCAGAATCATATGCCAGTATCTTCAACAAATAAATAGTGAAACAAGTATGAAAGGTCAAAATTGCTTTCAGCTGCCTGTAACTTCTTCTGCAACCACCAGATGGAAGAGTACAATTTGTTTAGTGTTTGTGTTTTGTTTTTCAAATTACTGGCTGCATATACTTCTAAACAGCCATGTAATTGTAAAGAAGAACATTTCACTTCAGAAATGGCTGAAACTAATTGCTGGACAATTCTTTTGTTTTAAAAGTGGTGACCTCATACTATACCAGGAGACAGGGGCTTTTAGACAGAAGGGAAGAAGAGAAGATGTTTGTGCCAGACATGTACGCTTTCATGAGAAATACTATTGTAGCATACCAGGTCGCATTTAGTTTTTTTTCCCCCACCTGATATCACATAACTTTATCTCTGAGTGATAATAGAGTGATAATACCCCACACCTGAGCTGACCCTGGCATCCGATCCTGCCTGAGCTTGACGAGCCACCATTGGCAGACAAACCACACAGGTGTCTCTTGGTATTTGGTGTCTTTCTCAGCTTTTACCCACACATTTGGTCTGTGAATGAAGCGGCGGGAGATAGGCTGGTGGATTAGAGTCGGCCCCAGGTGGGTCGGCTCTTTAGCGCCTGTCCCCATTTCTAGAAGGCAGTGCTAAATGACCTGCGCGCCTCAGCTGCACTCGTCTGGAGGAGAGGAGGTGCTATGGGAAGTCGATGTTTATCTTAAAATGAAAGTGTTATCTGATTTCAATTTGATACTGTGGGTGTTTTATGTTTTATATAGTAACCATATATAGTAAATTGATATTTGCCTGTTCACTTCATAGTCACATTAATCAATCTCCCACAACATTAGATTTCAGAAATCTTCACTATCAATCAGCTTTTATTTGTAGAGTGCCTTTCCTACACAAGGCAACACAAACTGCCTCACAACCCATTTCACATCCAGCATAAATCATTAACATTAATTTCTACATGCAGTATCTAAAAATATATGATTCAAAACAAACATTAATATCACAAGAGATATCAAAAACAGTACCAGTATCAGTTGTAGAAATAAAATCCTTCAGTTCAGTTGCATTATTTTGAAGTAAGACAGGCTTTGAATAGTGGTGGATATGGAAGCGCTGTAGTTCAAATGAGCCAAGCAACCCAGAGCTAGGTATTCAAAGCATACTAATACAAACGTTGATGAAATAACTCAATATTTGCTTCAGTTGTTCAGTGATGCTAATAGATATATAGAGTATTTGACCGCATGTTAAAAGTAAAAGAATATATGTAGTGTAAGAAAACAATATTCAATATGGATAACATCAGTTGCTTGCTGTGCCCTCACTATGTATCCTGGCATTGTCCGTGGTAGTACTGACTAAATCACAATTTTCATTTCACACTTTCATTCTGAAGTTATTAATACTTTGTACCCTGCCATTAATCTTGCTTACTTCCCAATTGAAACATGATAAATCATATATAATTTTCCCAAGCACGGTACAGCAGCTTAATGTCATGATCGACTTGTAGCGATAGCAAACTATTACTCTCTAGAACACATGTGTCAAAGTCAAGGCCCGCGGGCCAAATCCGGCCCGCAAATGAATTATCTATGGCCCCCGGGACATTGCCTGCCATTGAGGTAATGTATTGACCCCTTAAGCTCGCTAGCCCCCGCCGGCGGGAGCAAACGAGGAAGAAAATACATCTGCTGGCAATAGAAGATGTATTTTGAACTTCATAAGCCATAAGCTATTTATCATTTTAAAGATTATTTTCTCAGCTATATTTATATGTAAGTGTAAACAATATCAGACTTTGCATTAAAAAGATATAACGCATAATATGGGCACAAAATAAATCACGTCTGTATTTGTTTTTTACCTTTCGTCTTCTGCTGCTCCAACAAATTAGACTTTCCCCATCCTTGCTTAGTCGCTTTCTCTCCATAACTGTCTATTGAAGAAGAATATCCACTTGTATTTCCCAAAGTATAATCCATTCTGCAGATTTAATCAAAAAACGCCCCAAAAAGAGGTCCAGACTGCTCTTTTACATTTCACCAAGTTTGAGCTTTTTTTTTTTTTTACTATTTTCATGTTCTCAGATGTCTATTACATCTAATATGTACAGTATGCGTATTGGCTTTAGAGCATATTTTATCGAGCCAACAGGTGTCACCGGCACTGCCTCTGGATGTTGAGAAACATTGAACCAGTCCGGCCCTCGGCGCGTAGCAAACATTTTTTTTTGGCCCTTTGATGTATTTGACTTTGACATGCCTGCTCTAGAAAGACAAGACAACTGAATTGATTTTTATTTTCTAATTTGATTTTAAAACTTTATTTTGAGCCATACAAAATCACACATAGCACTGTACCCACACATCAATAGAGGTGTTGCTCAAGCTGGGATCACTCCAGGGTAGGGCTGGGCAATACATCGAATTTAAGCAATTAATCGGCTACTTGCAATATCAGCACAGTCTGTACGAGACTTTTATAATACGTATTGGAGGAAACAAAAAATGGTTTTGAAACTTAAATATCGAGCGGAAAGATCAAAACATGTTTTAAGGGCAAAGTCTGTCTTTAGTGACTTTATGAAAATTTTAAATCAAAATTGTCCAAAGCAGGAAATAAAATAGATTTTACTTTTTTGACATATCGCCCAGCCCAACTCCAGGGTCAGACAGCACATTCCTTAGACAAAACACTTCTTCTGACTGGACATACAATACAGACTTTTTAATACCCAGAGTTTTTCCCTACATGGACACACATTCTTCACAGTAAAATTTGAAGCTAGAGCTGAAGAATACTACTCCAGCCATCGCAGTAGCTCAATGTACAGTCTGACTCAGGCATTCTTTCAACTACGAAGTGCAAACACTACTGACAAAAGCATTTCTATCAGAACACCCCAGTATAGACAGTGAAATCTAGTGTGCTTCGACCACACAAGACCACGCTACACTCTTCTCTATGTAAAGTGTCACAGCAAGTGATTCTTCGCTTAAAGCACATTAAGGTATCAGCTTTAAGATCAACACAGGGCCCTGTACATTTCACTTCACTGCTAATTTACACTAACATACCAAACATGAGCCAGCTTCACCACACGCTGTGCTATATCAAAGCTCTCTCCTGTCTACTCCTTCAGCCTCCGTGTTCTCCGCCCCATGCTACCTAAGATTCCAACTATCCTCTACCCGCTCACGTCTCCCCACATCTTCTACTCTTTCAGATCCCTCCTCTTTGAACTGTCTCTGCTCCTGTTAGCTTCTCCTGGAGACATGCAAAATGATCAATCTTCCCTCCTCCACTGGCTGCTATTTCATCTCCTAGTGGTAAACACAGGTTTCCACAGTGCTCAGAGGGGTTTGGGGGGGGTTAGTAGGGTCTGCATGGTAAGTTCATCTCATGCGCTCCCATTTGGCGGGTGGGTCGAAGCAATCCGTAGTCTAAATTGGGATTCAAGAGAGCGCAGCGGTCTCTGCGGCTGCGAGTCCATAAATCAGGACATCTTCAGCGCACTTGTCCAGGCTGGAGATAAGGTTAATGGCCTTCAGGGATCTCATCAGTGAGGTGGAGATGGTGCGGAGGATTTGGATGAAAAGATCATATTTTTAACAGTTTATTTAAAAATGTTCCCAAGTGTTCTAAAATTATAGTACACTACATAGTTGGGTAGCATGGTAGGAAACCTGATCTCAAGACATACATAAACACACAACTACAACCGCTGGAAACATTGATACAATAAAATCTTAATTATTGAACATAAAGTAAAGTAATGTTAACCTTTAATTGAATACAAAGTGAGACATAAATGTTTGGGTGATTGATTATTCTCTTGCATTCTGACTTACTCTAGTTACTTTGTTATTGGATTATATATATATATATAATTTTTTTATTATGCAAAAATATGTTCTTGTTTTCCATTTTAAGAATCAAAAGCTGTAAATTAAATGTTGCTTCAATAATATCTCAAATGTTGAGGTTGCTTAGTCATAAATAAAAGAGGTTACTTTTTATGTACTGAAGTTGAAAGCAAATATTTTTTGCATAACAATGTGCTTTTGAAAACATTGATCCCCACACAACATGCTGAGGATAGCTTGTTAGCTCTTTTCTTTCTATTCTCCATCTAAACAGAGGCGATGACTTACCTTAATGATGAGGGTGAAGCGCTGGTACAGGTCTCTGCTGATGGGCTGCAGCACCCGCAGCTCTGCAGTGGTCCTGTTCAGGGAGAAGTACTGGGCAAACGTGTTCGGCTGACCTGAAAGTGCACAGAAGATTCAAGTACATACAAAGAATAATAACAAATCTTGATTTGTAAAGCAATAACAAATCAATAAGGGTGTTACAATACACTACACAGAAAACAATCAAAAACTGTCAATAAAACATAGGAATATATAAAGAAATACAGGAGAATACAGCAGAGAGACAGTACACAACAAGAGAGACAAAAACCTAAATAAATACATTTGCCGTGTCGGCTAACACACGTTAGCAGCCCTTTTGACAGTCACGGGGGAATGAGGCTAGAGGAATATGTTCACAAGTACAGTGTCCCCCATTGTTAATCTGGTTTAATCCTGGTTTAGTCCTGGTTTAGCTCCAGTTTTGGCTGTTTTCAAGTGTCTTGTTTCCTCGAGACGGCTCCGTGTGGCTATCAGAGAGCCGCACAAGCTTCCAGAGGAAAAAGTTCATCTCTTGCTTTTGCCGAATACATCGGATCTTTGTGTCCACTTCCTCTGCTCTGCACACGGCACATGCTATTCCTCACACGGACGTGCACAACTATTGACACGACATTGAAACACAATCTATAGATCCATGGACGTTACGCATGGTGCGGTTGTTTTTGCATTTCCCCGAATGTTTTGCGGTTCATACTTGGCTGAGATAGGTCGAGAAGCCTTTGCCTATATCCCCCAGAATGCCGCGGCTTAACTTCCTGTGTTTTCTTCCTGTTTTTTGCAGGTGTGAATACACACAAACGAATCCTGGTCCGGACCAAAGAACCGAACCGAGACTCACTTTTTTAGGTGGTCTCGGCCCGCTTCCAAACGAATTCTGGTCCGAGTCGATTCAGGTATGAATACAACCGATGTCGATCCGACACAACTCCAAGATACGTGCACTTTTTTGGGCTTAACAAGCCGTAGACAGAAACTGTGAGGAATTAGCCGCACGTCACAGCTGCTAACTATGCTGCTAACGCTACACAACAACACTGAGCCGTGTGCAGACCTGGAGCAATGAGGAGACGCTGTGCAACAGGCTTATGGAGTTAAAACTGTTCACAGTATACACTGATGTTAACGGCAGCATCTTCAAATCATTTGTATTATTATAAGCCTCACGTGTTTGACTCGAAGAGCAATATCCCTCATCATGTAGTGAATTGTGTTCTTTGGCTCATAACGTCGTCTGTTTATCCCGTTGTTATTATAGATCCATGGGTTATCCACAATGCTGCTGTCAGTATGTTGTGGGACAGGGCCGTTATTATTATAGATCCATGTGTGGGACAGGGCACGTAGCACACAGAGTCTCCTTCGCCTTTCTCCTCACGCATTCGCCGACGCTGAGCCAATATTTAAAACAACGCGTTTCGCCTGTGTCTAATGAGCTGCTGCCGTTTCAGATTCAGATTCAGACTACTTTATTTATCCCACCAGGGGGAATTCATTTGAGCAGCACATAACATTAAAAAACACAGGAAATGTGATTTGACATGAAGTTGAGTCCCATGCAAACATATGAACATGATATAACAATACAGTTGATGTTGAAGGTGGTTTTTCTCTAAAAAGAGCAAACATAGGCAGAGCAGACATGCTGCACATACAAGCCCTCAATGTTTTCCTCCAGTTCCGCGTCTAATCTCCGTGAGCTCTCGCTGTCCAATAGGAGCGCCGATTATCACACGCGTCGATATGTTTATAAAAAAGTTCCCTTGCAAAAAGTACAGTCTGAATACGAACCGGAACAAAAGAAAAATGTTTGGTCCGCTTTTGATTCGGATCAAGCAAGCGGAGCAAAGGACTTTTCTGGTCTGAATACACCCTTAGTGAGTCATTATTTGATTTTTTGGGCTGAGAGTGATTTTTTTTCCACAAAGTTAGTGCCACTTTATTGCCAAACTCTTGTTAACTCATTGTATTGAGAAATATTTGGGCAAGTAACGTTTGACATTGGGCAAGTAAAATATAAATGGTACTTGACCAATGGGGTGCAAGTAGTTGACAAAGCTTAATGTCAAGGCCTGATGTACAGTAGATGCAAGTAAGTGCAAAACTCCAGTTGAGTTCCAAATGTATTTGTTTTTGGGTGGCAAGGTGACAGTTGTAGAGGTAGGAATGTAATGAATGGATGGTGATTATCAGAGGTGCGTTCGCCGTTCAACTGTGTGGAATTAATAGGAAAAATAATGGTTCTACACTCTCAAACACTTTGAATGACCTTTGTCTGTGAAAAGGCACAATACAAAGAAAGAATACATACTTACATTGTTAACACCACACAAGACAAAATAAGACATCCAATTAATAGGAAAAAGAGGTATTTTACAAAGGTTGTGTTCATGTGTTGACAGTGTTCCAAAGAGCAGAGTTTATAATTGTGGTGGAGGACATGGACCCTGGTTTCTATGGTAACCGTCAAAAGTCCGACTCCTATAATCTTAGGCCAGTCAGTTTCTCTGTAATCCCTGGACCAATCCATATGAAACAAAAGATAAGTTCCAACTATGTCATCTAAATGTGTTATATTAGGAGGCTAGAAATGGTGAAAATATTTTAATAAAAGGACTGGCCAGTAAAAAAGGACTTCAGATAAATACACAATTGGCAAGTTGGTGAATCTAATCACTATACATAGTTCCCACAGACCAATGAATGTCACATGACCTCCTCGGAGACGCCATCTTTGATGGCACGCTGCTGTGTTTGTGCATTCCATTAAACAGAAGAATGAGAATAAATGTAGATATTCAAACGCAAATTGGAAAAAAAGGGCAACTTTTGAGCAAATAATTGTATATTAATACAATGGCACCACAGTTTAACGTGCTACGGACATGTTTTACATATTTGATCAAATTATGCAGCAAAAATTAACAAGCAATGCAAACATTTCTCAAAAACTTTAGATTTAATACCAGTTGGAGCTCCATTTAATTATTTTAATTATATTAACAATTAATTTAATTAATGCTAATGCCACACGGACACTCTGGATTGCTGTTGTTGTTTATTTCCGCGTTTTTGACCGTATGTTTTGGTGAATGGTGGGCAACTGATTTTTCCAGGCGTAAAGAGCAGTTTATTTTATGACACAGATCTTTTTACAGAAGCAATGCTGTTTGTGAACATTGTTTTAGCCCACCATAGAACTATTATTATCTATTTAATACATTTACGTTGCCCTCGAGAGCCTCGGACGCGACACCGATCCTCCTCATAATAAAGTAATCTAAATAATGAAACTCTCAAGTTACCAGCTATCAGCATACACAAGTTAGTACTGAGTAAATTACGTCTGTCAACACATTATGAGATACGATACGCACCTGACACAAAGTGCTCCGAGCATATTCTTGCGTGTTTTGAAGGAGTTTCTTGCCTGTTTATCTTCGCAAGCCATAACCTCCGTCGTTGTTCTGACAAAAGCTTAGTCTTCTCACATTCATGAAGTCTAATGATGGGTATACTGTAAAATCCAAGTTTAACGGAACCTCCGGCACGATTTGAACATCCATTGACCCAGCAGGAGATGACCATTTTCAACTTTATCACGACATTAACACGTTTCAGCTTCTTTTTCTATTGTTTTGCCCACAGAATGCCAAGACAAATGGCGCCGGGTCGGCAAATCCCCGTATGTAGTGACGTCATGTGGGAACTATGTATAGGAGGATCTTTGTTTACACCCTTCACTCAAGAAGGGTCCGTGATAAAAATCAATTTTTCATGATTTTCCGCGCTGTAAAGTGGCCCTGCATTTTGCCACACATTAAAAGCGGGTTGCCACTTTTTGCTGTTACTTACGGTAAAGGTGGAACAGGAAGCCGCGGGGATGATCAACCAAAATGCAATGTTTAAAATTAATCATCACTCATGAATGAACAACAACTTCAATTGAAATATGAATTTTTATCCCCTCATCCCCGGTTCTACGTTTACCGTAGGTAACAGAATAAAAGGGCAACCACTTTACCGTGGCCATTTTTTGCTGTTCTTTTCCAAAATAATTAGAAAAAAAACTGAATCTTTCCCCAGCAGGCCGTACAACTGACCACAAAACAAGAATGGACCATTTGATTTAGTAAGACCTCTATGCTGTATTGCCAGCCGGTCACGTGACCGGCGCGGAAAAACTATAAACAACAACATCACTCCAAGATCCTCCTATAAAACAACGATCTGGGGAAAAATTTACTTCTACAATGAAAAATGCTTATTTTTCATAGAATTGCATTGGCGCCTGCCCTAAAACATAAATGTGCAACATAATAATAGAATAAACATCGTACCGTGAGATTTTATTATCGCTACTTTCCTCAATGTAACAGCACACTCACCGAGCAGGATGGAGTAGAGGATGCGCGGCCGGTCCGATGGCGGCTGGATGTTTTGGTCCATGTCAACGGCTCGGATTTCAGGGGTCACATTCAGAGGATTCAGCTTTTTCTGGAACAACGGGTGAGAAAAAAAACTGTCAAAGCATAGAGCCAACAGACAAGTTTGCCAACACGCAGCTGGCGGCGACGCAAAAGCTGTCACAATAGCTTAATGCATCGTAGGGAAATAATAACAGATACGGTGATGAGGCATTGTTTTGCCGTCGACTTCCAGCCTTCCAAATGACACTGCAATTCTCCGGTGATTAATTTTCACAAAATGCAAATGGCTTAAGCGTTTTGTCCCCGACTGACCTGTCTGTGAACTACTTTCTACTAATGTGATAATTAATATTCTGTTACACAACTTGTTAACTTGGGGCGACAGTAGCTCAGTTGGTAGAGCATTGGCCTTTGGGCCTGAAGGTCGTGGGTTCAAGCCCACCATAAGACCTACTTCACGGCTCCCACTGATGACAGCTGTCGTTGTGTCCTTGGGCAAGACACTTAACCCCACTTTGCCTGAAGCTCCCACTGAAAGATCTCAGCTCCTGTGGACTCACCACCTGCAGGAGGATCAGTGAGGGGCTGGTGCTAAGTGTACTGGGTACAGCTCTGACTGCCACCCCCCCGACCCAGAAATGGATTAAGGGGAAGAAAATGGATGGATGGAACTTGTTAACTAGTGAGCAATTTGGAAATTTGAATGCAAGGCTGTATCTACAAGTTTGCCCTATTAATTATCGTGTGTGATACAGATGGGGCTGGTGTGTGCATACGTTTGGGATTTCTGTTAAAAAATATTCAAAAAGAAAGTGTCTTTTCTAAAACTATGCATGTGAAGTGATTTGGGGTTTTATTATGAGATCTCCCCAGAACAGATTTTGTCCAGGGAAATGTTGAGCTGTAGGCCACTAATTATCCAGCTTTGCTTTTGCATACACTTGCATACTCTGGCGTTATGTTCAAGCAGCGGAAGAGGATGATTCCCAAATTGGTTTTCAGACAATGGCCACGTTATTTAATAAGACTCAAGATGAAGTAAAAGCACTGAACTCATTTTAATTTAAGTATTCTCCTTGTTCAACAACATTCGCAGTGCTATTACTACAGGTGACGCACTAGTTCAGCAGGATTGCGGCCAAATAATTCCGATAAGATATGGTTTTCTGGAGACTCGCGGAGAAACGTTGGCATTGCTTGAATAAATTGGTTTGCAACTATTCTACCATTAGAAGTACATTGTAAGGACTACAGATAATATTTTTTTAATGTAACTGCACATTGTCCTAACATAAATTAAACTAAACTAAACTGAATACAGCTCAGTAAAATTGCAAAATAATTTGGACTTTTCCAACGATTACAATCAGGTGAGGTTAGACCCTGTAGGTGCCAAAATATCAGAATGACCTGGTTTCACACAAACATTTCATGATACATATGTTCACACAACCTTTTATTCGATTTGTAGTTTCTTTATTTTATTTGATCATTATTAACATATAGCTCTTATGTCACTTGTTTTTCAAAGACATACGGGGTGTTACGATTTCATTTTTTTATTGTAATCGATCAAAATTACGGCATGTAATTGTGCATAGAGAGGATTGACGAGCACTGTAGCGCTTATTGCGTCTGTGCGTGCGTCCCCGGAGCGTCGTGGTTAACACCTGAACATTGTAAAGCGCTTTGGGAGACCTTGTAAGTAAGTAAGTTTTTATTTATATACCGCCTTTTCACTGCCGATCTGAGTCTCAAAGCGGTTTACAATTGTTAATATTGCATTTACCTTGGTCGGTAAATGCGCTATATACGTAAACATCACTTACTTACTAACTTAACCTGGACTATTTAAAGAGGCAGAACAGCGCTTCCAAGTTATTTCGGCAAACAAGAGTGCATTAAAGTTACTTCTTTATGATCGGTCGAGTGCGCCTTATGTGCTCTATTCAGTCACGAGTGACTAAACACCGGCCCCATTGGTTCAGAGGGGCATTCACACCAGACCATGAGTAGCGTCCAGTTTCAATGCAATGTCAAAGACAGTCTATGGTTTTGACGCACCTCCTTGGTTTGGAAGCTTTTAGTGGATGTCATAGACTGTAGGCGGTGACTAGCTAATATATAAATGATGCATCAATTTATATTGATAAGAGTTATTTATAGCAGCAGATTTGCAGCCTTATTCTGTGGTAGTAAATGCTGGATTCAAACATTTAATTAGCGTACTTGAGCCGTGCTACAGTACGCAACAGTGTGCTATAAGAAAAGGATTTGAAGAATCATGATACCCCTGGAATAGGCTATGCTATAGAAAAAAAATCGTACATCAAGAATTCAAGCGCCTCAAATAATAATGAGGCTATTTGCCTTACTGTAGAATGTGAAATAATATATTTAAGCAGCACTAAGCGATTCGGCCGTTTTGGCAGTTTCTTCTTGCCCAAGAGAGTTAGCAGCTCTGCCCTCGTCTCTATGCCACTCGTCTCTACGCGTAACGTCGTCCTTGACTTTACAGCAACCAATCAGAGAGTCGGAAAGTGGTCAAGGGATACTAGCGGTCAGAGTGAGAAGACTGAAGATTCTTGTAAACAGCCAAAACAGGAGCTTAACCAGTACTAAACCAGGACTAAGAGATTAAACCAGGACTGACAATGGGGGACACAATGGGGGACAACATATGCTTCCAGCCTGAGTTCTCATTATTCAGTGACTGTAAACCAGTGCTGCTAACGTGTTTGCCAATGCGGAAGTACTGTTTAATAATAAAATTAACTTATGGCGCAGCTCGGTTAACACATACCGCTGTTATATGAAGTCTCGGGAAGGTCTCTGAACATCGCAGGTTTACAATTACTCCAAACTCGGCAGCACGTGTCCTGAAGACCAGGGGGCGGGACCACATTACACCGGTTTTAAAAACACTGCATTGGCTCCCCGTGTGTTTCAGGATTGCTATTAAGGTTCTTTTAAAGGTCTTTGAATGTCTTAATGGTCTAGGGCCTTCTTATCTTTTTAGAACTGCTTTATCCTATGAACCTTCCCGGCCCCTGCGCTCCTCTGGCAGCAGGGGCGCAGCAGACCTGGCGGGGGCCTGGAGCCTCGGCTTCATGTCTCCTCTGGGGGCTGGGGTCTGGCTCTTGGGCCTGGTGGGAGCCTGGAACCTCGGCTTCGTGTCTCCTCTGGGTCCTGTGTTGTTCCCTGTGGCTACAGGCAGCTCTCTGCTCCTGGAGCAGACGGCTCCTTGAATGACGCATTTTCAGCTGGTTGCATCTGAACCCTGCCAAGTCTCTCTTTTCATGGTTTTGCTGTTTTACTGGTGCGTGTGTGTGTTTGTGCGTGTGTGAGTGTGTGTAAGCGTGCATGAGAGCGTGCGTGAGTGTGTGTGTTGGCGTGTGCTAGAGCGTGTGTTTGTCTGCGCGTGTGTGAGTTCTTAATAATATATGTCGGGTGGGGTGGGTCTGTTGGGTGGTCGGGAGGTGGGTCATGGGCGGCATTGTTTTTAACCAATATGAAAGCACTTTGTGTTGCATCTTTTGTATGAAAAGCGCTTTATAAATAAAGTTTGATTGATTGATTGATTGGATAAAGAGCTACATTCTTGGAGAGGAACTTTACACAAAAAACTGCTAGCTTAACCCTGTTAGCATTAAAACCCACCCGCCACTTCCGCCCTATGTGTGCATGGAAAACCACTTCATGCCGTTTTCTCTCCTGGTTGGATAAAAACTGTAGGATACAAGAAAACTGTTGTCCTCAGCTCAGAGCAGAGCAGTGTCTGAGAGATCCGTGTTTCAGTCCAAACACTATAAGTGATTGCTATTGGAAGATATGACTATTTAAGACTTATATTTATGACAAAAATATGGCTTACTTCTGTTTTAAGTAGAAGATATGACAAATAAGAAGACAAACAATTACTTTCCGTCTGTCATGCTCTAAGCTACCATCGGGCGGAGTTTCCTTTTTTACATATTTGAAAAACACAGCCATGCTTTAGCAAAGGAACTTAATTTTAGTTTAGAAAAACACCATAACCAATTTAAGGTAAACACTTTTGTTTAGAGACAGACGACAGAAAACTGCTCAGAACATGATGGTGGTTTAATGACATCATACTAGTCTGTTAACAGGACTGAGACAGGGTAGCACAGTTGGAGCACTGGTCTTTGGACCTAATGGTCATAGGTTTGATCCCACTACAACCCATGTCATCTGCTCCCTCTGATGTCTGCTGTCGTGTCCCTGGGCAAGACACTTAACCTCACATTGCCTGAAGCCCGAGCTGAAAGGCCAAGGCCATGTCTTCGGTGACGGAGAAGCCACCTTTCTGTGGACCCACCACCTCCAGGACGATCAGCGAGAGACTGGTGCTTTGAGACTTGGATGGCAGCTCTGATTGCCATCCCCCCAACCCAGAAATGGTATAATAGAGGGGAAGATGACATGACAAGACATGACAGGACTGAGACAGAAGCTCAGCATGGATGGATCTAAAAATAACTCCAGGTCGGTTTTGATTTGGGAACACAATTGTAAAACGTATGAGATTGTATCATTGAGCGTCAATACTTCTCATAAGTGCAGCTCTGCGTTCTACTGGATCAGAGCCGAGACAGCGGCGCCAAAACCCGCAACAGCTTTGGCACCTTTGCGCACAGAGAACTGCTTTTTTAATCTTTCCATACTTCTGTGCTGCGGGTTCACACTTCTTAGCAGAAAACAACGGCTCGTCCACATGGTCAGAGCAGCGACTGACGAGCCGCATCTCACAGGTCTCCGCTAAAGTTTAAATACAAGTGATGTGTGTGGAGCTGAAGCCAAGGACCAGCAGCACAAACATGTTCCATGTGATTTGACTGGAGCCGCGTATTTGGATACTTTGGGCTGCGTGACACAGAGGAGCGCGACAGACCGGTATATGTGTGTGTATGTATCTGTAAGTGTGTGTAAATGTAAGCTCTAATATAGTTCTAACCCGCGCTAGTGTGCAACTTTGGCGGAAAGAGGGGAGAGATGATGCGTGTGGATGTTACGTATCAATGGAAGGGGGAAAGTGTGTGTGTG